ACCTCTGGAGTTCAACTCTGTTGGGTGTAGACAGTAACTACCAAAGACAAATGGGTGAAGTCACACAAAATCCCTAGATTGATTAGAGTTGGACATTAACACCTCTGTGTGCGCTCAAGACCGTAAGTCCTCGGTTCGAATCCTGCAAGTAGCAGGAGTTTTGGATGCTCACTGCTAATCAATCCCATACCTGGACGAAACGGCCGTCTTTCAATGCTTCCAAGTTTCTAATGGTGGTGGTCTAACAATGATTGATTTTTTGGTGTATGTCAATGCATCTGCGTGTTCTTAAGGGTCGGTTTATAAATCAGAGCATGAACTCGTATTGATGAATACGTTTATACGGGACACACACTACAAAGCGAAGCGGAGAAGGAGTGAATAAAACGAAGGAAGCGAATAGATAGGCGAAGCGCCTTGGAGAAGGCAAAGAGCCAACTCAAAGAGATAGAGTATGACTAAGAATAGATAGTCAGACCAAAAATAAGACAGACATATGACAAGCGAAATAGATATGCACACACATGAATAAAAGCGACGAATGATTGAAAAGGTCAAAAGCAAGCGATACAAATCATGTGAGTTCATGGGGATATTAAGAAAGATGAACATTCAAGCGAAAAGGATGAGTAAACGCGTAGGCGTAAACAATGCTCAGTCGTACAAGCTCATACAAACCAGATAATAAAAAATACCAATGGTGTACATATGAGTTGTTGCTATACAAATTGGCTTGGTTAAATAAATTAATCGAAGGGGCTTCACCAAGTTAGATGTAAGCGAACTGGAATATTATATGTGTGAAGGCACTACAGATTCATGGTTTCAAAGTATGAAAGTTCCGCGACCAGAACATTCAGTTCAGAGAACGAAACTTTCAACTCATTCATTCACCTGAACTAGAAATTTTCTCCACAATCTTAAAATCATATGAGCATTGTCAGAAATTTTAGTTGTATTCTATTAGATGACAAGGAGTAAAAGCTACTGAAGGAAATTTCAACTGTCGAAAAGTTTTAGTTCAGTCCTCGTTTTGAGGATGGTATGACGTATTATGACAGAATCAGATGGAATATGTATATTTTTGTAGAAGATACAATTTATCTTGCAAAATATGTACACGCAGTGTTCAATCAATCGATTTGTAATTCAAACAGGCTATTCACTGTCTTCGATTACATCTATTCTAGTCTTCAATATACTTTAGTTGTGTCATGTATTTTGATCCTCAGGTACTCCTCTTTCTGGTAGTAACGTTTTTTTAGAGAGTCTTCACTGCATACTGCTTATTAGCCACCTTATAAGTAGCATCCATTACAGTAGTATTATCTTCGTTCATTGAGATTAAAGGATTCAATAACTATGTTAGGATATTCATCCAATATCCTAAGATAATTATTGCTCAATCCCTATTGGTTAATTCCTACTGATCAATTTTATGGTCGTCCTAGATATCAATGTCACGTGATCCAATGTTGTTTCCTATTGGTCGCCTTAACTGTCGATGTCACAGACTTCGATGCTGTTTCCTATTCGACCCAAGTGTATAAATACACATTATCTGTAACGTTTTATGACCCAGATCCCTAGTCAGGGATCCTGATTCTCTTCTGGACTCGAACCCCGTACTTTCTGGATGCTTGTAGAATACAGGTTCTATTTCATATCAAATCTTTTTTCACTCAATGGAGGGTTAGGACACTCGGATAAGAGTAGCATGTCATGTCGCTGGATCATCCCTCTCGTTTCCGACTAAGGTAAACTCGTAATAGCTCAAGCATATCAAATTGACGTGTTTACGTGCATGCGTAACAGACTATCTCACTGAACAATCGATTTTTAATGAAGATCACAACGTCCTTATAAAAAAACCTGTAGGGAAGTCATCTTGTCACTTGAAATTAATGCAGTTTCCGGTAGTTTCGTAATTTTTACTCAACTAGTTATTAGTTTCAACAAAAATAATGTTTGAAACAAAGTAGGCGTTAAATTGTGGGAAATTTAAAATATTTATCGTCAATATCTGACATTTATTCGATAAACTATTGAAATTTGAAACATTTCAAAGCATTCTAGCGATAGTTTGCATCTCTACTACTGTGGTGTGTGCTACTTATACAAACGATATAAGTAGTATAAGGAGGGTCGTGAATGAAGAAGTCTCACGTTCAGAAGAGGAAAACGGAAAGCAAATGGAACAAAAGCAACAAGTAAATGGAGTACCAACAGGATGTAAAGGAAGCAACAACAGGAATGGAAGAAGAAGGATGGAGTGTTGGAAGTCTTGCGACTCAAAGATGGTGTGCAAATAGAGTGGTGTTCAATGTAATGTTTTCGTTTTTAATTGACTAAGAGTGTAAATTTGCATAATACAATCTTCCTCGCCTGCCTCAGTCTTCTCACTACAACAGTATTTAATAGAGAAATGATTGTAAGCTAAATTATGAATTCGGGATATTTAGAGATTGTAGTGATTGTATGATAATTGATTTGAATCTAAATGCTGGGAGCAAGCCCTATGGGCTCGACATATTTGTACATACATTACAGACTTATCAGTGTTATCAACTTGATAATACACGTATTATATTAGTACAGACGGATGATATTTAGCACAGGAATCCAAGATTCGTGTTTCATCTTATTTGTGTAGTTAGAAATTTATCAATCTTATTCATTACAACTGTTATTTTGTGGTGGTGTTCCGTTCTCTTAACTGGGTTGTGAAGCCGTTCTTTTGAAACGGTTGTCCACGTAACTTCGTCGAAAAACAACAACCGAAATCATCAACACAAGCGAAATCAAGTACAGGAACCAATAAACGGATCATCCTACTATACATAAAAGACATATCGGAGCATGCAGTAAGACTACTGAAACCAATTGAGAATATGTGTAGCACACAAATCAACAGAATCACTTCAATCAATCCTATGTAGACGAAAGGACAAAAAACCAAATATCATATACAAAATAAACAGCTGCTCAGACTGTGAAAAACACTACATAGGACAAAGTGGACGGCCTCTTCAGCTTCCTTTTACGTGAACACCAATTAGCAGTCAAACGCCACAACAATTCTTCGCTTATATCAATACACACCGACAATTATGGACATACTACATTCGATTGGAATAATGTGGAAATACTGGAAAGGGTGAGGACAAAGAACATTAGAGAATTTTTAAAAGCTTGGCACTCAGGTCAATCAGCAATCAACAAACACATTGATATTGACCCAATTTATCAACAAATCAGGAAAATCATAGGTGACATAGCATCAAGAAACAGATCAAAAGGGAGATACAATCAAAACAAAGGTGTAAACAACGACAGGTTTATTGTCAACAGCTCAACCAATCAAGATCGAGGTTAGCAGAACAAGCTACAGGTCAAACGTGGAGAAATTCGAATACTTGACTTCTCTATCTGAAGTTTGTGCTAATGATGTTGTTCAGAAGAAGAGCAATGATGAAAGCTTCATAACCAAAACATTCAGCTCAGAGAATGAAACACCACCACAATCATCCATCTGAGCTACAACTTTTCTCCACTGTTATTTTATTACTACTATAGTGAAGGAAGACTTCAGGTCTAGATAGGATAGTAGTTTATCCGGTAAAGATGCAGTTTACCATAACAAAATATGCTTACACCATATCTTCAGATTTCCATTTTGTAGAACAAACAAACTTATTGGCTGTTTTCTTTCATATGTATTCTGATCTTCAATATACTTTAATCGTACCGTGCATTCGGATTTGATACTCTTCATTTTGATTGCACATTCACCCACTACATACTACTTATAAGCTTCATTATGAGTAGTACTCATCACATTATTGTCGAGGACGTTAGATCCCCAAAACTCGCTTGATAAAAGCCTTATTTCGGATTTCACGTTTGCCAGCATGGGCTGATCAGTTGACCTTGAGATTTCATTTCCCACCAGGAAAATCCATGGCTGTGATTGGCTGCTGTGTATTTTAGTGTGCTATTTTTGTGACTGTCCCAAGGACGTTTCTATGATGTATAAATAAACGAGAGTTGTATGCTTGAGTGTATTGTGATTGCTGGGTGTTTGTAGAATGTATTTTCTACGCTATATTAAGACTTCTCATTAGTAAACTATTCAGGGTAGCCTACTTGGACACTGGTTCATTGTCTCGTTTGCGTTTATCGACTAAGGTGAACCCGTAATAGCTTCAGGCGTACCTAGTGAGGAACCTAACAACTATTAAATGATTTGAACGATTTGTTATGACTGCGAAATTCCAAAGTTTCTTATATTTTGATATAAATATATGTTGTAACGTTATGACTAAGAATTGTTATCTTATCTCAATTTTAAAAATTTTCTTGTGAATATTAAGTTGTGATATAATGTGTGCATCTACGACTCCCACTACTCGCAGGAATCAAATCCACGACCTTAGGTCTTATGCGCGATCGCTCAACCTGTGGATCACTGAGTCAGCATTTGATGGTGGTAACGTCTAATTTGATCAATCTACGGTCTTGAACAAGCTCATATACTGTGAGCAATGCTCCACACTTGAACGGGGTCAAACTCCACTGGTCTCCATTTCTCACTAGGACTCGGAGAAACTTCCTCACAGAGCTAGTCATTTGTGAGTACATCGCAAATTGTTATTATAGGGTTGTGGTGATTCTTCAGTTACTCTGAAATCATGAAAAGATCAATGTTGGATCACCAACAGAGTTCAAACCTATTTAGATGTAGAGCAGTGCTCATCGAAGACAGTGGATGAGGTTACGCAAGAGCATGGATTGGTCAAAATCAGACATTAACACCGTCAAATGTTGGCTCAGTGATCCAGTGGTTAAGCGTTCATGTGCAAGAGACAAGGTCCTAAGTTCGATTCCTGCGAGTAGAGCGAGTCATGGATCCTAATTGCTAATATTAAATTGTAATAACAAAAAGCTTAACTCTATAAACCATTTTTTTCTTGTTAATTTCTCATCAAACAAACAAACAGGTAGTTATGCAGGTGAATATAAAAATGGTGTACGTGAAGGACTTGGTGTACGTACCTCTATACCATATGGTGAAGTGATTAATTTTTTCCCAGAAGAAGCTGCTATTGTAGCAGAAATTGCTTTAGATAAGAAAAAACGTGAAGCATTACAAAATTTATTGAATTCCTCATCGACATCACACCATCATCATCATACTCATCCTAATCACATTACTACTACTGATACTACTACTAATAATACTACTAACGATTTACACAATATCACCAATAATCCTAATGCTGGTACACGTCGTGGCAGTCTACTTAGTCAACGATCCGGTGATGCTGTAGACATTGAAGATTTCGATTTACTACATGGTGGACAAGATGATAAAGATGAAGATGATGAACCATATTGTGGACGTCTAGCAAATCCAACGCATCATTCAAATAAAAATTTTAAAGATTTACGTATGTCATGTAAATTTAAATGTGGTTTTGTCTTATCATCACAACGTAGTGAGCTGTTATTAAGACGTCAACAAAAGTTAAGTCATGTAAATTTGAGTGGAGGCAGTAGTGGTTTGTCAATAAAAAGCCGTAAAGAACCTAATCATCATCATCACAATAAATCAAGCCGTCGATCGAAATCATTAACAAATTTATTTAGTCGTTCGTTAAGTAAAGAATCTATTGCTTGTGTTCGACGTCAAGGCAGTATCACGGAACATTCCGCACATGGGATTAGTAAAATGGAACAAACACCGGAGTCCGTGTTTACATTGGATCAGGTAAGAGGTTAATTATTGATTTGTTGATTTATAAATCATCTTAAGAAAATACATTGAAATCATGAATGAATCATTGTTGGACTACCTTAGAAAAAATACGGAAGCAATGGACTGCCGTTTCGTCGTGGTATGGGACTTATCAGTGGCAGTGTGCATCTACGACTCCCCCTACTTGCAGGATTTAAACCCAAGACCTGTCTTTTGCGCGAACATGCACGGTTGGATACTGGCTGAGTGGTCCATAGGTTAGGCGTTCGAACTCAGGACATTCGATCCTGCGCTCGAGTCCCACCAGTGGCAGGAGTTGTGGATGCGTTCTACCAATGATGAGTCCCATAGTGGGACGAGACGGCCATCCAGCTCTTCCAGGTTTCTAATGGTGTTCTAACATTGATCGTTTCATGATTTTATAACGTAACACAACAATCTCCACAACCCCATAAGGCAGATTATCTAGCTCGCTAGTGACTAGCTCCGTGAGGACTATTCTCCGAGTTCTAGTGAGAAGTCACGACGACCTGTGGAGTTCAGCCGTGTTGGGGGTGTGAATCAGTGCTCACCGAAGACAGTGTATGAGATTGCGCAATACCGTGAATTAATTGAAGTTAGACATTAATACCGTAAGATAATGGCTCATTTTTCCAGAGGTCAAGTGTCTGCGCGAAAGACAGAAGGTCCTAGGTTCGAATTCTGCGAGTTACAGGAATCGTGGATGTGCAGTGCTGACGAGTCCCATAGTTGGACCAAATGACCGTCCAATGCTTCCAGGTTTCTAATGGTGGCCTAATATTGATCGATTTATGATCTGAAAAGATTGTATCGTGTAAATAATAACAGTAAGAGATAATGTGTGTGTGTGCGTGTGCGAATAAAAAGTCTTGTAAAATTAATGTATCGGCATCAAATTCATCTCGTTTATCGATGGTGCTGCCCAGAAATGTAACGTTTGTAACAGCCTTCAGAGCTTCTCCACCAAGTGTGATTGTTGTGTTGTATCGAAGGATCTTACTCTTCCACTTGTATTGTGGTGTGTCGATTTTACTGCGTGTTCTTAAGCTCGGTTTATAAATCAGAACATGAACTCGTATTGATGAATACGTTTATTCGGGACACACACTACAAAGCGAAGCGGAGAAGCGAATTGGAGAAGGCTAAGAACCAACTCAAAGAGATAGAACATGACTAAGAATATATAGTCAGACAATAATAAGACAGACATATGACAAGCGAAATAGGCGTGAACACACATGAATAAAAGCGACGAATGATTGACAAGGTCAAATAACAAGTGGGACATGTCATGTGAGCTCATCATACAAACCAGATAATAAAAAATACCAATGGTGTACATATGAGTTGTTGCTATACAAATTATGGCTTGGTTAAATAAATTAATCGAAAGTGCTTAAGCAAATTAAATGTAAGCGAACTGGAATATATGTGGAGGCACTACAGTATATGTTAAGACTTACTACTGTAGAGGCTACCGCGCGTAGACCTTCTGTGGTTACAGCCAGTCCCATGCCTGGATAAAGGATGAAGGTTTGAGATGGGTTTAGCAACCGCATTACGTAGAGAAGTAACCGGCGAAAAGAAGCGCTAACCAGAAAATCCTTGTTATATATATACATATACGATTATGTAGCTTGGTGGTAAATTCCTTGAAGAAAAAGATCCTTTCCTTGAACTTAAATATTTAAGTGGGAATTATGTATCTCTATTTCAAGTGAATTGAATCAAGAGGTGTGAACCTTCAGGTTCTTTATCAATGAACTGAATTTATTGTTCCTCTTTTGATGTATATGGTAATCGTTGTAATCTAAAGAGAGGTTCTACACTTAGAGAAAACACTGATTCCGTGTTGGTGAATTTTTTACTGTAATTTTGTTTCTCTAAAAATGATCCTAAAATTATCTTACTACTTATCATGCTTTAATAGTAATATAAATTTTACTTTAAAAATAAATTCAATTAGGTCGATGCCATTGATCCTGAAACAGTTGAAACATTTGCTGGTCAATGGGAAGCTGATTCACGTCATGGTTATGGTGTATGTGAACGTTCGGATGGTGTGATTTATGAAGGTCAATGGATGAAAAATCGTCGTCATGGTTATGGTCAGACACATTTTCCTGATGGTCTATGCGAACAAGGCAGATATCAACACGGGAAGTTGGTATTTCTTTCATGGCCAAAAGGTGTGAAATCATATTTACTGCTGTATAATTATCATATCATGCGTGAAGTAGCCAGTGCTGTGAAACGTGCACGACAAATAGCTGATGAAGCATTTATGAAAGCAAATGAAGCTAGAGAAAAGTAAGAATGAATGGATTGGCATGAAAAATATTTAAATTTTGTTGATATGGTTTTAACAAGCTATTTTCAAGAGTATAGTAGACAGAGAGAGAACGAGAGAGTGTTGGGGATGTTAGGTCCCCAAAACTTGCTTGTTAAATGCCTTATTTTGTATTCTGCGTTTGTCAGCATGGGCTGATCAGTTGACCTTGAGATTTCATTTCCCACCAGGAAAATCCGTGGCTGTGATTGGCTGCTGTGTTACTTAGTGACGAACATAATAGAGAGATGAGTTGAATGTAATCACACTGGATAAGAAAAAGTGTGTAGACCCGTGACTGTTGAAGACAGCGGATGAGGTTGTGCAAAAATCCTTAGATCGATAGAGTTAGACATTAACATTGTTGGATGCAAGCTCGTTGGTGCAGAGTTTAAGTGTTTGCGCTCGAGAGTGAAGATCGTGGGTTCGAATTCTACGAGTAGGAATAGTCGTGAATGTGCACTGCTACTGATCAGTTCGATGCCAGGAAGAAACGACTGTCTTTCAGTGCTTCTAGGTTTCTAATGTGCTGGCCTGTTGGGGATGTTAGATCCCCAAAACTCGCTTGATAAATGCCTTATTTTGGATTCTGCGTTTGCCAGCATGGGCTGATCAGTTGACCTTGAGATTTCATTTCCCACCAGGAAAATCTATGGCTGTGATTGGCTGCTGTGTATTTTAGTATGCTATTTTCGTAACTGTCCCAAGGACGTTTCTATGATGTATAAATAAACGAGAGTTGTATGCTTGATTGTATTGTGTGATTGCTGGTTGTTTGTTGAATATACTTTCTACGCTTACAAAGCCTTCTTACCTTAGTTTAGGGATTCAAGGTAGCCTATCTGGACGCTGGTTTATTGTCTCGTTCGCGTTTATCGACTAAGGTAAACTCGTAATAGCCTCAAGCATAGCCGCAAACATAATAGAGAGATGAGTTGAAAATAATCACATTGGATGAGAAAAAGTGTGTAGACCCGTAACTGTTGAAGACAGTGGGTGAGGTTATGCAAAATCCTTAGATAGATAGAGTTAGACATTAACATTGTTGGATGCAAGCTCGTTGGTGCAGAGTTTAAGTGTTTGCGCTCGAGATTGAAGATCGTGGGTTCGAATTCTACGAGTAGGAATAGTCGTGAATGTGCACTGCCACTGATTAGTTCGATGTCAGGATGAAACGACTGTCTTTCAGTGCTTCTAGGTTTCTAATGTGCTGGTCTAACAATGATTGATTCATGATATCAAGCTAAGAAAAGTAACTCTCTTAAATGGATCATTTTGCGTTTAAGTCTACAAAATGTTAGATGATATAAATGGAATTTTATTTTAGGGTTCAGGAGATTGTTGAGTTTCAATGAATTTATGAACCGGTCGATGTTAGACCAACATCAGAAACCTGGAAGACTGGGTTGCATCGGCACTTGAACTAGTGATAGGGAGTGAAGTAGTCGAACGTGTAGACCGCTTCACTTATCTTGGGAGTCTCATCAGTGCCGATGGCCTGGTGACTGACGATACAGAAGGCTCGATTGGCTTTTGCCAACCTGCGTCACTTATGGCGCAGGCGAGATATCCGCTTGTTAACCAAAGGACGGGTGCACTGCGCAGCAGTTCGCTCTGTCCTACTATTCGGATGCGAAACATAGCCGTTAAGAATAGAGGACATTCATAGGTTACTAGTCTTCGATCATAGGTGTATACGACGCATTGCTCATGTATCCTGGGACGACCGAGTAAGCAATGCTGTTGTTAGGAAACGGGTGCTAGGTAAGGATGGCAAATCAATAGATGAAGTAGTGAAACTTCATCAGTTGAGGTGGTTGGGACATGTTTTACATATACCTAACCACCGACTGCCTCGACGAGCTATGTTTTGTGGTTTAGGAGTAGATTGGAAGAAAGTTAGGGGGGGCCAGACCAAAACATGGCATAAATCCATGAAGTCACTGAGAAGTGGACTGAATCATGTTGGTAGATGTAGGCTATCTGGTTGCGGTCCGTGAGACGAAAGTCACCAATGGTTAGAGACCTTGAACGACATGGCCGAGAATCGTTTGCAGTAGCGCAGGTGCATCCACTCTTTGTGTGCTGTTTAATTCTAACCTTCTGAATTCCTGATAATCTCTATCTTTCTCCTTCTAAATTTGTCTCACTGAATTATACTTCTCGAATCATATATTTGCTCCCTAATCCTATGAGGATTATTGGTCGATTCCTATTGGTTAATATTTCTACTGATCAATTTTATGGTCGTCCTAGATATTACTGTCACGTGCCCCAATGTTGTTTCTTATTGGTCCGCCTGACTATCAATGTCACAGACTTCAATGTTATTTCTTATTCGACTTAACTGTATAAATACGCATTATATGTAACGTTTCAGGGCCCGGATCCCTAGTCCAGGATCCTGGTTCTTTTCTGGACACGGATCTCGTACTTTCTGGATGCTTATAGAATACAGATTCTACTTCATATCAAGTCTTCTACTTTTATTCAGTGGGGGTTGGGACATTCGGATTAGAGTAGCATGTCATGTCGCCGGATCCTCGATTCTCGTTCTCATTTTCCGACTGTTATGTTCGTCACTAGGTACGCTTGAATCTATTACGAGTTCACCTTAGTCGATAAACGCGTCCAGATAGGCTACCTTGAATCCCAAGCTGTAAACAGAAGGCTTGGTAAGCGTAGAAAGTATATTCTACAAACACCCAGCACTCACAATACGATCAAGCACACAACTCTCGTCAATTTATACATCATAGAAAGGTCCTTGGGACAGTCACAAAAATAGCACACTAAAATACACAGCAGCCAAGTACAGCCATGGATTTCGCTGGTGGTAAATGAAATCTCAAGGTCAACTGATCAGCCCATGCTGGCAAACGTGAAATCCAAACAAACTAAGGCACTTATCAATCGAGTTCTGGGGATCTAACATTCCCAACACCGACCAAGGTAAACTCTTAATAGTTCAAGCATATCCAATTGACAAGTTTACGTTCTTTGCGTAACAATATGCTTACACATTGTTTATGTCTGATAGCTGATGTTACTACATAATGAAAACTATAACTGTAAAAACTTAACTTAAACATTCATGACTCTACAAGGAAATCGAACATAGGATCTTCACTCTCGCTAGTGAACATTTAACATCTAGACTATTGAGCCAGCATCTAACGGTCATAATGTCTAACTTTAATTAATCTAAGGTATTACGCAACGTCATTCATTGTCTTCGGTAGGTAACTACCTACACTCGGTCGGGTTGAACCCTTACTAGTCACTACTTCTCACCAAAACTCACTGGTCAGTTAGTCAGTCAGTTGCAACGTAGAACTTCGTACGTATGTACATAAGTTCATGTTGCCATACCACATTAACACAGAGACGCAAATGTCAAATTAAATCCCATAGTGATAAAGATAGTAGAGGTATTAATGGTAATGAAGAAGACTAGGGTTTGAAGATATCATTCAAGAAGAAGAATTCAGTGAGATAAGGTTAGAGAGACAAAGGTAGAGGTGTTGACGAATCCAGAAGATTAGGATTTGAGAGAGCTCAAAGAATGGATGCACTTGTGCCATTGCAAACGATTTTGAGCCATGTCGTTCAAAGTCTCTAACCATTGATGACTTTCGTCTGGCGGACCCCAACCAAGTAGTCTACATCTACCAACATGATTCAGTCCACTTGTCACTGACTTGATGGATTTGTGCCATGTTTTGGTCTGGCTGCCCCTAGCCTTCTTCCAACCTACTCCTACACCACAAAACATAGCTCGTCGAGGCAGTCGGTGGTTAGGCATTCGTAACACGTGTCCCAACCACCTCAACTGATGAAGTGTCATCTACTTATCTATTGATCTGCCATCCTTACCTAGTACTTATTTCCTAACGATAGCATTGCTTACTCGGTTGTCCCACGATATACAAGCAATGCTTCTTAGACATCTATGATCGAATACTAGTAACCTACGAACATCTTCTACTCTTAACGGCCATGTTTCACAGCCATATAGGAGATCGGAGCGAACTGGTTAGCGAACGGATATCACGCCTACACCATAAGTGACGCAGGTTGGCAAAAGCCAATCGAGCCTTCTATATCCGAGCTGAGATTTCGTCAGACACCAGGCTATCAGCGCTGATGAGACTCCGCAGATAAGTGAAGCGGTCTACACGTTCGACTACTTCACTCCCTATCACTAGTTCAGGTGCCAATGAAACCCAGTCTTGAAGCAGCATTTTGCATTTCGAGGGTGAGAACCGCATCCCGAACATGCTTGCATTGTTGCTTATGGTGGTCAGAAGACTGTGCATTTTGTCAGCCTCTCCACCAAATAGAACTATATCATCGACATATTCTAGATCAGTAAGCGACTCACTAGATGACATATGAAAGAAGACAGTCAATAATATGTTTGTTTTATAACTGGAAATCTGATGATTAACTGTACACACTTTGTAAGCAGATTCTCTCCTCTGATCTGTATGATATAATGTTTGAATAGTATTCACGTAATAAATCAACTGGCTATAACATTTGACAGAAATTTACGCCGAAAATCAAAGTAACCAACTGAATAACACATTTTCTAGTTCATTTTAAAAACAGAAATTTATTCCAGATTAATTTTCCTGTTTTTTGTTTTTGGCTGATCGAATCCCTCCTTTTTTTACATTTTATTTTTGGTTTTTCATACATTTAGTTTAGCAAAAGTTGAAAATGCAGTCCAGCTGTCAAAGAAAGCTGCTGAATTAGCACGTGACTATTCATTGGAAACAAGGGAATTAGTCAAAGAAATGTATCCAGATTTTGAACAACCTGGTAAGTGGTTATTATCTTTCTTTTTTTCCATAAACATCTTAAAAGTTTACTGTATTTGTTACAGACGGATCCCAGCTAGTTGGTAGATTGAAAGAACTGGATAGCTATTTTGTTTTGGTATGAAACATCTTTGTAGTTTATGAACATGACTTCTGGTTGGCGCTTTTTTATCGAGTTAGATTTCTCAGGGATGGGTTCGCTGACTCCACGCCCAAACCTCTTCCTTTATCCCCGGACTTGGGACCGACAGTAGCCCTAGAGGGATTCCAGGTGAAGTTTATGGAAATCAGACAAATCAAGAGTGGCAAAGCAGCGGGACGAGATAACATTCTAGCAGACGTGGTAGTAACTGAAAAGATTCTGCACATTCTTTTCAGTAAGAGTTGGGATGAGGAACAAATACCAACAGATTGGGAACAAGGATACCTGATCAAAATACCAAAGGAAGGCGATCTCAGTAAGTGTGAGAACTACAAAAGCACCACTCTCCACTCACTACCAGGCAGTCTTCAAAAGGGTATTGTTAGATCGAATGAAGGGTTCAGTGGATACCCAGGTTTGAGATCAACAGGCTGGATATCGTAAGGATCGATCGTGTACTGGCCAAATTGCAACATGATGGATCTTTGTGAAACAATCAATTGAATGGAACTCACCACTCTACATCAACTTCATCGACTACGAGAAAGCATTAGACAGGACAACACTATGGAGGCTTCTTCGACACTACGGTGTGCCTGAGAAGATAGTTAACATCATACAGAATTCATATGATGGATTAAACTGCGAAATCGTGCACGAAGGACAGCTGAGACACTAGTTTGAGTTGAAGATTGGTGTCAGGCAAGGTTGCTTACTCTCACCCTTTCTCTTTCTTCTGGTGGTCCACGGATTGATAATTTATTGAGATCATGAACTGATTCATGTTGGAAAACTATTGACAAACCTGAAAGTATTGCATATATGCGTTTCATCTTAGTATAGTACTACTCTGACTTTCTCATCCATAACTCTACAAACAGGAACCGAATGTCTTTAAATCAGTGTACTTATATCCGACCGTGTCGATATCACACACAATATTACGCAACCATCACTCATTACTTTTGGGTAGATGTTTTAATGCCGTCAGTTAGTTGGCAGAGATTGAGCAAGAACGCTCTACACATAGGTTGTACTTACCTATCTACTTACTCATGTTACTCCTCAGGGAGCATAGGTCGTCGATTAGTCAAAGAAATGTATCCATATTTTGAACAACCTGGTAAGTGTTTATTATCTTCCTTTTTTTCCATAAACATCTTAAAAGTTTATTGGGAGAAAAATCTTTGTAAGTTATAGTTTATATTTGTTACAGATGGATCCGTTGAACGAAACAAGAGGAACAATTGGATAGTTATTTTATCGTAGTATGGAACATCTTTGAAGTTGTCAGGGAGGGATGTTAGATCTACAGAACTCACTTGAAAAAGGGCCTAATTTTGAATCTTTTTTTAATGTTTTCGCGCATAAAACGTCTAGTTGACCTTCAGCTTACATTTCCCTCTTGGAAAAATCTTGACTGTGATTGGTTGATGGATTGTTTTAGTACACTATTTTGTGGCTCTCCCAAGGATGTTGCTATCATTGTATAAATAAGCTTGATTTGTGTGCTTGTCAACCTCGCTCGAATTTTCTTAATGCCTGTAGAATACCTTCTCTACTACGCCTTATCAAGACTTCTTGCCATAGTTAGCAGGGCCCGGGGAAAAAACGGATTAAAATAGCCTATCGTGTCAATGAGTCGTTCCGTTTACCGAGTAAGGTGAACTCGTAATAAGCATTCAAGAATATCAATTAGCGAACTTATCAAAAGTCTATGAACATAACTTCTGGTAAGCTTTTTTTTAGCAAGTTAGTTTTTTACAAGATGCGGGCGGGGTGGGGCTAACCACACGCCCAACCCTCCTCCTTTATCCGTGCTTGGGACCTGCGGTAACCCTAGATGGAAATTAGGTGGAGTTCATGGCTATAAGACAAATCAAGAGTGGCAAAGCAGCGGGATTAGACAATATTCCAGCAGAGGCAGTAAAAGCAGACGTTGACGCAAATGCAAAGATACTCCACATTCTCTTCGGCAAGGTTTGGGATGAAGAACAAGTACCAACAGACTGGAAAGAAGGAAATCTCATCAAGATAACAAAGAAAGGCGATCTCACCAAGTATGAAACTACAGAGGCATCACTCTTCTCTCAATACCAGGCAAAGTCTTCAACAGGGTATTGTTAAACATAATGAAGGACTTCGTAGACGTCCAACTTCGAGACGAACAGGCTGGATTTCGTAAGGATCGATCGTGTACTGACCGAATAGCTACATTACGGATCATTGTGGAACAATCAATTGAATGGAATTCACCAGTGTACATCAACTTCATTGACTACGAGAAAGCATTTGATAGTGTGGACTGGAAAACACTGTGAAGGCTTCTTCGGACACTACGGCGTGCGTGAGGAGATAGTCAACATTATCCGGAATTCTGATAATGGATTAAACTGTAAAATCGTGCATGGACGACAGCTGACAGAATCTTTCGTGCTGAAGACCAGTGTCAGGCAAGGTTGCTTACTCTCACCCCTTCTCTTTCTACTGGTGGTCTACTGATTGATAATTTGATTGAGATCGTGAACTGATTCACGTTAGAAAACTATCGACAGAACTAAACGTATTGGGCAGGCGCTTCATCCTAGTTTAATACTACTCAGTCTTTCTCATTCATAACTCTACAAACAGGAACCGAATGTCTTTAAATCACTGTACTGATATCCGACTGTGTTATTATCTGACTTGACATAATTCACGCACGAAATTACGCAACCATCACTCATTACCTTTAGGTAGATGTTTTAATGACGTCAGTTAGTTGGCACAGATTGAGCAAGAAGGCTCTACACATAGGTTTTACTCACTTACTTCCTGACATCTGTTACTCCTAATGGAGCATAGGCCGTGGATAAGCGAATTATTTTCATTGTTAGCGAGTTGGAATTCTACGGGATGTGGGGTCGCTAACACCAGTCCTCATTTATTCGGGCTTGGTACCAAGGGTAACCTTAGAAGGGCTCCAAACGGAGTTACGTATAGGTTTTACATAGTTATTACTCAATATATGTAAGGCATTTCTCGAATGTTCAGTATCCCGGACTAGGAATCCGGGTCCGGTGTATCTATACAGTTAGGTTGAATAAGAGACAACATTAGAAGTATGTGTCAATGATAGTTAAGACGACTAATAGGAATTGACCAATAGAATTAGACTCACAAACAACTACTATCTTAGGATATTGGATGAATATCCTAACAGAATTAAACCTAGGATCTTCAGGTCTTTTTATGTTAAGAATATATTCTTGATGGATCATTGTAAGACAGAAAACATTTCTTAGGCAAGAAACATCCAGAAAGTTGTCTAGTCTCACGTGTATGAACTTCTCATCAACAATATTTAGAACTTATGGGATCATTTAAGTTAAAATCTGAACAGTAATCTGTCAAACACATCAAATCAATGTTATATCAAACTATAAAAATTGATCGATATTTTTTCAATTAAACTACTCGATAAATTTCCACACAATACTCTACAGTGAAGTTTGAGCAGTTTTACAGATTGGTTAACATTATTTTGAAATCATGAATCGATCAATGTTAGACCACAAGCACTGGACGACAGCTGCTCCGTCCTGGCATGGGATTCATCAGTGGCAGTGGGCTATTAAACTGACATCCAACAATGTTATCAAAATATTTACGCAATATATCAGTCAGTGAATTACATTGTAGAACTTTGTACGTACGTGTTTCAGTTCAGATTTTCATACCAGCAATAGCACTAGAGACGCAACTGTCAGTTCAAATCTCATAGTGGTAGAGATTGTAGAAGTATTACTCGTTATGTAGAATATTAGGAATCGAAGATATGATTCAAGAAGTATAATTCAGCGAGATAACTTTAGAAGGAGAAAGATAAAGATGATGAGGAATTCTGAAGACTAGAATTTTAGAGAACACAGAGTGGATGCACATACGCCATTGCAAACGATTTTAAACCATGTCGTTCAAGATCTCTAATCATCGACTATTTTAATCTCGCAAACCCCAATCAAATAGTCTAAACCTACCGACATGACTCAGTCCACTTGTCAGTGACTTCATGGATTTGTGCCATGTTTTGGCTTGGCCGCCCCTAACCTTCTTCCAACCTACTACTACACTGCAAAACATAGATCGTATAGGCAGTCAGTGGTTGGGCATTGGTAACACATGTCCCAACCACCTTAACTGATGAAATTTGATTACTTCATCTATTGATCTGCCATCCCTGCCTAGTACTCGTTTTTGTTGCGGATGTTAGATCCCTGAAACTCGCTTGATAAATGGGCTGATCGGTTGACCTTGAGATTTCATTTCCCACCAGGAAAATCCATGGCTGTGATTGGCTACTGCGTATTCCAGTGTGTTATTTTCGTAACTGTCCCAAAGACGTTTCTATGATATATAAATAAACGAGAGTTGTATGCTTGATTGTATTTTGATTGCTGGGTGTTTGTAGAATATACTTTCTACGCTTACAAAGCCTTCTTACCTTAGTTTAGGGATTCAAGGTAGCCTATCTGGACTCTGGTAATTGTTTCGTTCCCGTTAATCGACTAAGGTAAACTCGTAATAGCCTCAAGCATACTTAGTGACGAACCCAATAGTTTCCTAACGCAATATATATATATATATATCATTATGTAGTTATTAAACTAAATTGCGTAATTATACAATAATTTAAAATTAATGTTTTTCATTCAAATAATCAATAAATTGATAATATGACGTAATTATTGAATGATTAGTTAGTTATTTTCATTCGAGTTAGTCTTTGTAAATAATTAACGTTTTTCATTCTCATTCAATTGTGAAGATTTGAATTTTGTTGGCATTATGAATCGATCAATGTTAGATAGACTATCATTAGAAAGCTAGAAGTATTGGACGGTTGTTTCACCTTAGTATAGCATTCATTGATAGGCAGTACATATATGAGACTCTATACCGGAGATCCAATACAAGACCTTTGGTCTTGCACGCGAATGTCTAAACTGTGGATCACTGAGGTGGCATCCTGTTATGCGTATGCGTCAACAGGTCGACTGATATGCTTGAAATATTACAAGTTCATCTTAGTCGGTGAACGAGAGCGAGGATCGATGATCCGGTTACACGACAGGCTACACTAATCCGAACGTCTCAAACCCCAATTGAATAGAAGAAGAAGACTTGATATGAAGTAGAACCTGTATTCTACAAGCATCTAGAAAGTACAAAGTTCTGAGTCCAGAAGAGAATCAGGATCCTGGACTAAGGATCCAGGTCATAAAACGTGGCAGATGATGCATATTTATAAAGTTAGGTCGAATAGGAGACAACATTGAAGTCTGTGACATTGATATTTAGGACAACTAATAGGAACTGACCAATAGAATTAGACTTACAAAAATAATTCTCTTAGGATATTGGATGAATATCTTCACACATCCAACGGTGTTAATGCTTAATATTAATCAAACGAAGGTATTACACAACCTTATCCATTGTCTTTGGTATGAAACTACCTCACATTTGACACCGTCACGACCTGTCACTAGAACTCCAAGAATTTCTTCATGAAGCTAGTCGCTAGTGGAAATTATTGATGCGATCGTACACTATTATGAAGTGATTGAAGCTAGACATTAACACCTCACTCAACATGCTGACTCAGTAGTCTGGAGGTCAGGTGTTAGAGAGTGAAATCCGACAACCTGGATGTCGATTCCTTTATGTGGTGAGTCAGTCAGTCAAATACAACATAGAACTTCGTACGTAAGTACATCAGTCCATGTTGCCATACCACATTAGCGCAGAGATGCAATTGTCAATTCAAATCCAATAGTAGTAGAGGAGGTAGTAAAAAGGTATTAGAAGTAATCGGAGAGGTTATGATTAGAAGATATTATTCAAGAAGTATGATTCGGTGAGAAAAGTTTAGAAAGTCAAAAATAGGGGGGGGGTGAAGAATCCAGAAGATTAGGATTTGAGAGAACACAAAGAATAAATGCACCGGCGCCATTGCGAACGATTTTGAGCCATGTCATTCAAGGATTTATGTGGTGACGTGGATGCACACTGTTGATAAATCCCATACTAGGATCAAATAACCATCCAATGCTTCCAATTAACTAAGATCAATTCATGATTTCAACTACAAAACATATATTGTAGTGGGGGCAACCGAATTGTATTTAACGAAAATTACAGAGTTACTCAGTAAAATAGGAAAACCATATCGTAAACCGTTGTTAATTTGCAAATCTTCAATCCATCATCAATCCATTGTCTGACATTTCACTTATTCATGCATTTCATACAAATTCCATTGTGTTCCCACTCTTCCTTTCTTGATCTTCCCCCATCCTCTTCTGCTGCCACTAGACATTACGTTTACACTCACGTCATATACTACTTATAAGTAGCGCGCACCACAATATAACACACTTTCCACAATCTGTATAGTGGGAAAAATTCCATTTTTTTCGACATTCAAACTCATATATTCATACTTATTTAACACAATTTTTTTTCCTAATCATCAAAAGGTATCAAATATCTAGAAGATATGGTACGTTTAATGAATATCACTAAACGTGGTAATCAGGCGTTCGACACAGCATTGCAAGCAGCTAAAGATGTCATCAATACAGTGGAAACAAACATGAATGCACAAAAAGACGAGCAGCAACAACAACAACAAGACGAAAATCAAACAGAAAATGATCAGAATAATTTGAATTTTCCCTCGCTAGATTTAGATTTAAACAAAACTACTACTACTAATAACAATGTCAGTAGTAGTAATCATCCATTGTCTCGAGCTGGTTCATATCGTTTAAAACGTCAAGCTAAAAAAAAAAACAACATACAACGAAACATAAACAGATCAATGATCAATTACAAACGATGGAAATGACAAGTAGTGATCTAACTGTAAGTTGTACTTTTTGTTTTGAAAAAAAAATGAATTGGTTAATCAATGGCTTTACATATTTTGTTGAAACCATGAATCGATCAATGGTAGACAGAGCACCATTAGAAAGAAACCTGGAAGCAATGGACAGTGGCCGTTTCGTCCTCTGGTATGGGAATCCTCAGTTTAGTTGCTTCCAGGTTTCTACTGATGGTGGTCTAACTAAGATTGATCGATTCATGGCTTCAAAAAAAAATGTGTAACTTAACAATCTTCACAACAACCCTGTAATGCAAATTACCTGTGCTCACTAGTGTGACTAGCTTCGTGAGGAATCTTCTCCGAGTTTTAGTAGGAAGACGTGATCAGTGAAGTTCAAATTGTACGCGTGTAGACAGTAACTACCGAAGACTTTGGTGTATGAGGTTGCGCAACTCCGTGAATTGATCAAGTTAGACATTAACACCGATAGGTACTGGCGCAGTGGTCTAGAGGTTAAGCATTCGCGCACAATACCGACGGTCCTGGGTTCGAATCCTGCAGGATGAAGGGTCCGTGGATGCGCACTGCTTATGAGTCCCATACCAGGACGAAACGGCCGTCTTTCAGTGCTTCCAGGTTTCTAATGTGATGGTCTAACATTGATCGATTCATGGTTTCAAAAATGTGTAACAATCTTCACAACCCCGTAATGCAATTAATGGCTTTGTCCGATATTCAATGTTTAGCAGAATATGCGAATTCTCAGTACAGAATAGTTTGTGTGTGTGTGTGTGCCCAAAAAGTACTTGTCTCAGCCTTTAGAAAACTTAATTTATCTGGTTTGTAAGTTTACGTTTAGCCAGAAGGTATCTTATGCGCTAGGAGGTGTGTTTGAGGAGCAGCAGTTATCTGAAGTAATCTGGAATAGGAAAGAATTAGAGAAAAATAGGTGAGCCGATGACTCAGTAAGCACATTAAGATTAAGACAAACTGATACTTGGAACTGGAAGTTGATAGAGAGTAAAGTTGTGAATGCGTTACACATTCTTCCCGAGTAATCTATCATTCGTCTATTGATCTTGTCAGTCATTCGCTCATCTTTTGATCGTTTTTATTGCCGTGTGTGCGTACATTGTTTACTTCGCTTATCGTATGTCTGGTTTATTTTTGTCAGACTATATATATACTGAGTCATACTTGATCGCATGGATTTGGCTCGCCGGCCTTCTCCACTTCGCTTCGCTTTACTTTCAAGCTTGAAATCAATTCATCCAACCGAATCCGTATTTGGCTTCTTATTAACGTCTAACTAACTTCGACGCTTAACGAAAGCTCGTGAAGAGTAGACTAGAGAAAACCACGCTGGTTTTCGACCTGGACGTGGTTGTATAGACCACATTTTCACACTACGACAGGTCCTGGAACACAGACACACACTAAGGCATCCCACAATAGTTGTGTTCCTGGACCTTAAGGCGGCATTTGACTCAGTGGATCGTGAGGTTCTGTGGCAGTGTCTGTCATTGAAAGGTGTATCAAAGAAGTACATTAACCTTATACAAGCTCTCTACTCGAACACCACTGGTCGAGTGAGAGCTTATGGCGAACTGTCACCGGAATTCTTTACTTCAAGTGGTGTCCGTCAGGGTTGTCCACTCTCTCCATTCTTGTTTAATTTTGTCCTAGAGATGCTCCAGAAATAACCTTATCCTCGTCTGAATTTTCAGGAGTAGACCTACTACCAGGTGGCTCGCTTATTGACTTAGAATATTCCGATGATATAATCCTACTTGGTGAAGACGCTGACAAAATGCAGAGTCTTTTAAACACTCTAAGAAACAATGCAAGCATGTTCGTGATGCGGTTTTCCCCCTCGAAATGCCATGCTTCATCGTATTGAGTTGGTTCTTCAAGCTTCTCAATTTCACTTCGCTTTGTTTTCAAGCTATGTATTCTCTAGTCTGTTTGAGTGAATAATCGCGTGAGATGAGCTCATCCATCCAACCGAATCCATATTTGGCTTCTTATTACCGCCGTCGCACAAACGGAGTTCGTCTAAGTATGATATACGGAAACTAGAGGGGAGATTTATTTCCTGGCATACTCGAACGTCATAGATGATACATGAGTCAGTTCATATAGCCACTAAAATGGTCAGCCATACACTTTGAATTCAACGCAATCCGGCACAATTTTAACAAGTTTCGTTTACAAAATAATTTGTGATAGGCAGTTGGAAGTGAGCAGTTCAAGAATTGACATCGTATTTAACGTTCATTCTATTCTCAGAAGATTGACAGTTACTGTGATGTCACATATTATACATTTTTTCGTGTTTTGTGGAGCAATAACTTGTAAACACATAAACGGAAATAGTAATATTTTGAAGTGTTAGTGTTATGTTTGAACAATGATCAGTAAGTAATCCAAGTTTCGAAGGATCCATGTGATCCCATCCTCGTCGCCAACTTGTTATGCTCGTCAACTGATATGCTTGAATGCTATTACGAGTTCACCTTAGTCGATAAACGACAGCAAAGACAAATGATACAGTAACACATTAGCCTACTCTAATCCAAGCGTCCCAAGCCCCCACTGAGTAAAGGAAGAAGTCTTGATAAGGCGTAGAAAGTGTATTCCACGAGAACCCAGAAAATACGAGGTTGACAAGCACAGAAATCGAGTTTTTTTATATATATGATAGAAATGTCCTATAGAGAGTCACAAAAATAGAGTACTCAAATAATACATGGATCAACGATTTTCCGAGTGGGTTGAACCCAACTGGTCACGGCTTCTCAGACCAACCTGGTCAGGGTTGCGGATGCTCACTGCCTCTAAAGAGTCCCATATTAGGACCAAACCAACATCCAGTGCCTTCAGGTTTTCACTGATGGTCTAACAATGATCAATTCATGATTTCACTGACAAAAACCACAATCCTCATAACTTGAAAAATAATCCTTGATGTTGACTATACAATTCGTTTCGTGTGCAAACTCCTAACTGTTACACCTCTGAGCCAGAATCAAGCAGTATTTTAATGTCTAACTATGATCAACTTAAGGTTCTGTATAACCTTAATCATTGTATTCGATGGGTGACTGCCTCACATTTAGCAGGGTTGAGCCCAACTGGTTACAGCTTCTCTCATGAACCTGGTCATCGTCGCGGATGCTCACTGCCGCTAAAGAGTCCCATTCTAGGAGGACCAAACAGCCATTCAATGCTTTCAAGCTTCTAAAGATGGTCTAACAAGGATTCACTCATGATTCTATTAACGTGATCATTGAAATGAATGATATTTTTTTCTTCTGTTTAGACTGAAAATAGTGCAGTGAATAAATCATCAACACTTCAAATACCACAATTAAATGTGGATTGTACATTTTCACAGCAACAACACCAACAAAGTAATGTAGAGAGTTCCATGACAAAAACTCCATTACGTCATCATCCGCATCATCCGCACATGACATCAGCATCAGCATCGACTGCAGGGCAGAGTTTACATGTACCCAATGCGAATTATGAGTATTTCGGTGCGGCGAATTCACGTGATCACATTGATGATGTATCGTATTCATCATCGGAATGTGAATCACTTGATGGAGAAATACGTACAACACGTAGTTCATCGGAAGCATCGAATTATATTATTTTACCAACATGTAAGTGAAATTATCAATTGTGATTTTCTGTGTTTATTTTGTATATTTGGCTGTATTTGAGTGTGTCATTGTTAGTTTCGTCCTTGTGCGGGACTCATCAGTAGTGGTAGTGCACAACTAAGATCCTTCTTACACAAGCGAATTGAATTGAGGAGTTTTAGTCTTGCGTGTGGATAGGAAAACACTGTGGAGGCTTCTTCGACACTACGGTGTGCCTGAGAAAATACTTAACATCATACGGAATTCTTATGATGGATTAAACTGCAAAGTCGTACACGAAGGACAGCTAACAGACTCTTTTGAGGTGAAGACCGGTGTGAGGCAAGGTTGCTTACTCTCACCCTTTCTCTTTCTCCTGATGATCGACTGGATTATGAAGACGTCGACATCTGGAGGGAAGCACAGTATCAACTGGACAGTTAGGACGCAGCTGGACGATCTTGACTTCGCAGATGATCTGGCTATTCTATCGCACATGCAACAACAAATGCAAGAGAAGACGACAAGTGTAGCAGCAGCCTCTGCAGCAGTAGATCTCAACATACATGAAGGAAAAAGCAAAATTCTCCGATGCGACACAACATGCACCAACCAAATCACTCTTGATGGAGATGCCTTGGAGGACATTAACACCTTTACATATCTTGGCAGCATCATCGACAACCAAGGTGGATCCGATGCAGAGGTGAGGGCACGAATTGGCAAAGCAAGGGCTGCATTTCCACAGTTGAAAAATATCTGGAACTTCAAACAACTTTCAACAAATCCAAAATCAGGATTTTCAATACAAATGTCAAGACACTTCTACTGTATGGAGCGGAAACTTGGCGAACTACGAAAGCCATCATCCAGAAGAAACAAATATCCATTAACAGTTGTTTACGCAGAATGCTTCGGATTCGTTGGTCAGACACCATCAGCAACAACGTACTGTGGGAGAAAACAAACCAGATTCCAGTGGGGGAGGGAATCAGGAAGAAGTGGTGGAAGTGGATAAGACACACATTGCGGAAAGCACCTAACTGCGTCACAAGACAAGCCCTCACATAGAACCCTCAAGGCAAAAGGAAAAGAGGGAGCCCAAGGAACAAATTACGCCGAGAAATAGAGAAAAATATGACAGTAATGAACAAACATTGGACAGAACTGGAGAGGGAAGCTGAGGACAGAGTTGGTTGGAGGAAACTGGTGGGCGGCCTATGCTCCATTGGGGGTAACAGGCGTAAGTAAGTAACTAAGTAAGTAAATGTTTAATATCTAGACCATTGAACTGGCATAATATGGAGCGACCACATCTAGTGTGTGTTCCTTGGGTAACTGTCTCACACCTAACATGAATGAACTTCAGTGGTTAAGGATTCTTACTAGAATTCAGTAA